CGCACGCCACAGCGGCGTTAAAGATAAACAAGTTAGATAAAAAACGTTAAGTTTAGATAAACAAAGCATATGCCTTTATCCATTTTTGCAACATTCCACTTTTTGTTTAATGAACTCGAAACATACTTCGCTTTGTAGATCCTTTACATATTAATAATATATATCAGAAATTCTATTTGACATAATCGAAAGTTCAAGCTTATTTTAAAAATTGCTCTAACAGTCTGCAAAAAAAATAAGCCGGATCCAATTCGAAGATTAAGGAACAACGCAATCTGCAACATTAACTGAAATAGATAATTAGACAATTTAGCTAGCTATACGTCTGTTATACATTAAACGCGCACTCGTAAATGTATTTTGCGCACGCGCACAGCATATCTGCAGCGTAAGGTCTTACCGCAAGCGCAGAAAGTGTAGCTTTGAAGTCAGGATGGGTGTCCAATAATGACTTTGACTGTAAAAGTTTGCATTTGTGAAATGTAACATTTGCTATAAGCATGAAAGTTCAACAACATAAAAATTTCCAAAAAGTGTCCACATTTGGGCCCACTGTATATATATATATATATATAACTTAGAAAGAGGTGTTGAAATCATGAAATGTTGAAAGATTTTAGTGAGCACTACTGGTATGTAATAGATTGATTAACAGTTTTAATTAAAACATTGTGTAAGATGATATGTGCCTTTTATCATAAACTTTAATATTTTGATTGAAAGAAAAACATGCTCAAATGTAAAATTTTAAATTATGCTACAAAAGCAACCTTAGATTTGCATTGATTTTAAATGGAACTTTATTGATTTTGACACTGGACAATAGATGACAGTATGATCACACAATAGACTTGTCACTAAAATGAGATCTCATCTTGGCATCTTTTCCACTTAAAGACTTATTTAAAACCTGCATTTGATTTTAGCACAGTTTTTTTAATATTATTTCCATATAATGTGTGTACTTTACTTAAGCATTTAAAATTTAAAGTACTTTTTGGTGAACATTGTGTCAATCATAATGTGCCAACCAAGTGTGGCAATCTGTTTATTTCACATCAAGAGTTGCTCAGAGATTTCCAGTTGCTTATTTTTTATTTTAAATTGAATTGCTACTTTTTTAAGAAGTAATTGATATGGATTATATAATTTGGCAATTGCCAAATAATGAATGGTTGATTAAATTCGTTTGAGATGAATATATTATCTATACTGAAAGATTTTGTTTGGAAAATCATGAAATGAAATTATATTTTGTTTTTACCAAAACATCAAAATAGGGTAGCACTGCAGAATCATTCATGTATGAGGGGTGTTTAAATGAAAAGGCACAACCAAACCAGTTGAAATTTGAGTGTGCCGCTGTAGGATAACATAGTGAGATATCTATGATGAAAGTAGTGTCTGGCATGGTTATGGACATGTGAGGTCACTTGCACATGATGCAGGAGAACAAGCAGTTGTGTGTTTTGTCCAATTGATGAAGCAGTGCGTGTGAGGACATTTCAAAACTGAGAAGCAATGAGATGTTACTAGATTTTTGATGGCGGAATGGGTTAAACTGACCGATATTCATTTCAAGATGGCCATGTATGGGGAAGACTGTGTCTCTGACAAGTCAGTGAGAAAGTGAAATGCCCGTTTTCACAAAAATCAGGAGTGTTTTAGTGATGACCTGAGGCCAGGCTAGGCAAACATGGTAATCATGGCCGAACTCATCAACAAGGTGAATGACCTGGTGAGAGGTGATCAGTGTGTCACAAGCGAATGTTAACAGTGGTGGTAGGGAACGGTGTTGTAACAGTATGGACAATTGTGTGCAATATATCGGGTTGCCGGAAGGTGTGCGCACAATAGGTTCTGAAGAAGCTCAGTAAACTGCAAAAGGAACTATGTGTAGGGTAACATTGCAAAAACCTGTTGAAATATGATGAAGACCATGCTTTCCTGGAACAGATAGCTACCAGTGATGCGAGCTCATACCATCACTAGAGACCAAAGGAGACAACATGCAGCATAAGCATGCATTGTCACTTTCCAATAAAAAAGTGAAAGCTGTGCCTTCGGCAGGCAAGATGATGCTAGCCATCTTTTTTTGACATCCAAGGTCCAATGCTCATCGAATTCCTCGAGCACAGGAGAAACATTAACAGTGACATGTAGTATGAGAAACTCCATAGCCTACACAAGTCCATCAAGAGCAAATGCCAGGGCTGCTCTTAGAGGAAATGATTCTGCTCCATGTTAATGTGTGTCCACACATCTCCAAAGTCACACAAGTTGTAATGGCCAAGTTTAAATGGGAGCAGCTAGAGCATCTACCATACAGCCCAGACATGTCACTCTGCAACTTCCATGTGTTTGGTTCGCTATAAAAAAACATCTCAAAAGGAAGCACTTCAGCTCATATGACAAACTGAAGGACTGGCTCCTGTCATAGCTACTGGGAGTCCTTTGGTCCATGAAACAGTGAGATAGTTGTGCTCAGGTGTCTAGTGATTACTAGTGAATAAAAACTTCAGTTATACCCACAGTGTCATTGCATACCTTTTCATCTGAACCTCCTTTATAGCAAGAAGAAATGTTTACAGAGTGTATATTGGTTCAAAAGTTAAGACATTCATTTTCTGTTAGCAGTTAGCTTCTTGTGTCAAGGGCTCATTTTGATGAATTCTGTCAGCTGCAGCTAAGAATGAATCACTGTATAACTGTTAATTGAAATTATCACATATGTTCTTATTTGTAAATTTCAGGGTTTTTTTAATTGTTATTTTTTTAGATTCAATTTAGATTTAATAAGATAGCTATTCTATTATGAAACTGTATATCGTTAAAGTTGTTCTCATTATTTCTGTCTTTAAATTTTGCACCAACATTTACTTTTGGTGTTAGGTGGCATCTTGTTAACTGAAAAGTATTTAATTTTTTTATCATTGAAGGCCTTCAAAAAAGTTCCATTTATAATTAGTGTGAAGCATTTTTTATTTTATATTTTGTATATTTTTACTGTGAATTTGTTTAGACTAATATGTTATGTAATTTTTTTTTTTTTTCCATTTTATAGAACCAAGTTTTGTGGCATCGTATGAAATTGGAAATTTTACATATTTTTTCTTTAGAGAAATAGCTGTGGAGTATATAAATTGTGGAAAGGTATGTTTTTTCACTAATGTTTTCTGTTAACATCACAATCGTTGTTAAATTTTTTTTTTTTTTTTTTTGCTTGGCAGAATCTTGGATTTTTGGTCATCGCTAAAATGTTTGGCTACAGTAATTCTAATAAAAAAAATAGCTGATGTGTTAAAAATAATAATAATAAAAGTTTTGAGAACAATTAATAAAAAATAGAAAAAGAAAATTTGAAAGGTTTCAGAGTTTAAATTACACCCAAAAGGGCATTTTTTTAACATTTTGTGTGTTACCTTTATTTATTAAATATCATGTTCTTTGCACTTAAACCATAAAATTCAGTTCAAGAGCAATATTGCAAAATAATTTAAATTGAACATATCTTTAGAATTTTTGATATACAGTTCCACTTGCTGGAGATAAAAATATTTTTTCTGTACAACGTTGTCCTTGTTTGCTTTCAAATCCTTGCGTTTGTTAATCAAAAATTCGTTTACAAAATTTTACAAAATATGAAATGGATAATAAAACAAATTCCAAACTTCAAAGTTGGTCTTCCAGATGCCCATATTCGCAGTAGGATTACATCATTCAAAATCTGATGGCTCTAGATACCATAGTTTTATCACAATGAGACAAACATACAACATTTATGCAGATTCTTCATTGTTTAATTTCTTTAGATATAATACAGGGCGATAATATTTGGTGGCAACATTTTGAAAAGTGAAACGGACATTCAGAGTGATTCGACGCAAAATTGCAAAACGAAAACAATAGCCCCTCAGGGACAAAGCCCCTTTGGACTAAAAAACTTAATTTATTAAATATTGTGTTTAAATAATTTTTAGATACATGGGCAGATATAAAAAATGAAGGAATGAGGATTTATAAATTGGTATTCATTGTATAATTTTATTGCAAATGAACATTTAGGAGGCTAAAATTTTTTATGGCAAATAAAATTTGAAATAAAGGATCTAACTGACTGGTGATTTGCTTGCTATTTGTTACTACATTAATTCTACTGAGTAGTAATATAGATGCTTTATGCCCTGTTGCTTTTTTAGTTCATTTCCTTTAACCCTCATATTCTTTCAAATTTTGATATGTGTACCTAAGTCTTAAAGATTATATTTGTAATTTATTTCAAAATGTTCAGAATTCAAGTTTTCTAGCTTCTTATTTTTATATGTTGCTTAAAGGTATTTATTGATCCATCAGCAGCTTTGTTGCATTTCAGTTCTGTACATGTTTAAATTTATTGTGCAAATCCTATGCTGTTCTTTCTGCGGGTAAGTATGTGGCATATGCAGTTTATCGGGTAAATATGGGACATACGCAATTTATCGGGTAAATATGTGGGTAAAATCTGTGGTTAAATATGTGGCATATGCAATTTATCGTGGCCTTTCTGTTTTATTACTGGTCTGGGTGTTGTAAATAGTAGGATTCTTTTCATTAACCTTTGGATGTGTAAAATTATTGTTCTTCTTATATTATTTACTTTTTCTACATTATAATACTTAATATTTTATTATATTTATATAGTATATAGAAAATTTTTCTAATAATAAATTCTAATTTCTAATAATATATATAACTTATTATCAGCTATATATATATAGATATATACAGTCAAAAGTCGTTAATTCGGACACCCCATAATCCGGAATGATCTATAATCCGGACCTCAAAGCTACAAACTTTCTGCGCATGTGTCGCGTTGACGCATGAGCAAGAGACCTTTACGGCTGCAAATAGGCGTGTGCGCAAAATACGTTTATGAATGCGCATTTAATGTATAACGGACAGTATAAGCTAAGCTAAAATTATCTAATTCAGTTAATGTTGCAGATTGCGCTGTTCTTTAATCTTCTAATTGGATCCGGCTTATTATTTTTTGCAGACTGTTAGGGCAATTTTATAAAAGTAAGCTTGAACTTTCGATTATGTCAAAAAGAATTTCCGATTCTGGAGCTATCAAAGATCTACAAAGCGAAAGCATGTTCCGATGTCCATCAAACAAAAAGTGGAATTGCTGCAAAAAATGGATATAGGCATATCCTTTGTTTATCTAAACTTTAACGTTTGTTTATATAAACTTTGTTTATCTTTAACGCAGCGGCAGGCACACACAATGAATTGAAAGTTCATCTGTCAGCACTCTCCTTATCTTCAGGGCAGATGTTTTTATTTTATTCGGCTTATGATTCCTTACTAAATGTATTATTTCATCTCGATGTACTCCGTCTTTGATATGATTTAAATCAAATTCCTCATCATTATAATTCACTTCCGATAGTGAAGAAAGTGACACAGAGGTTATTGAAAACGAAAAAATTTCGATTGACAAATTAGTCGGTATTCTCGACACAGCAATTATAGGACTTGAACAGCGGAACTTTGTAACTGAACAAGAAATTATGTCTGTTTATAGAATTAAAGAGAAAGTATTATCACATAAAACGAAGCAACTTAAACAACTTACATTGAAAGAAATGTTTAATAAAGTAAACAAATAAATATTAAGCTTTTTTTTTGTAAATTTTGATACCCTTTAGATCATAATTGTTCTTTATTTCATAAATTACGGTTTCATATTTTTAATTTTATAATTTCTGCATGCCATTTTACCAGATTTAAACTGATGATCTATAATCCGGAAAAATCGATAAACCGGAATCGCCGAAGTCCCGACGAGTCCGGATTAACAACTTTTGACTGTATATATATTTACTAAATAATATTGATTATTGATTATATTATCTTTTAATAATTATAGTAGATTATCTTAAAAGAGTGAATCCATACTAGCAAGTTATTTTTGAAAAATGTTTTGAAGTAACTTGAAAGTTAATTGTTAAAAATGTTTTAACGGGGACTGGAAGTAGTAGTAGTTACTTGTTTTCGCACTAAATGAATTTAAGATCATACAACATTATATATATATATATATATATATCTGTATTATATTTTTGAGATAAATGAAGGAAAAGTAAGCTCCCATCTTGAAACTGTATATAATAATTTCTAATTATCTGCATCAAGTCGGCAACCATCTGCAACTAATTTTTGAAAGACAACAGCGATTTTCAAATGGCAGTGATCTAACAATTACACAGAACAGCAACCAATTAACAAAACGTAAAATGCAACATCCATAATAGAACATTTATATTTTTATTTTTTGGTACTGTTCTTTCCTTGTGCATGGCAATCTCTTTTGGCTTAAAAAAATCTCACAACTCATCTTGCCATTGTTACTGTTTTTCTTTTCATGTACATAGTGATCTATTTCACTTAAAAATACAACTGAGAACAACAGAAACTGAGCACTGCATATTGTTGTGTTCCCGTGTACATATTAATTTGTTTCTGCAGTAAAATCATCAGAAAACTGCACACATTCAGCATTGGGATACAAATTTTGATCCATAAAAATTCAGTCATTTATGAAGTACAAAAGTTGTACAAAAGTTGTATTTATGAAGTACAAAAGAAGTACAAAAGTACAAAAGTTTATGAAGTGAATGGGAACTTTTGCATTAGGCAAAATGCCATCTGTCTGAAGAAATGCAACTATATTAATATATTTTAGATTGCCTGTTATGGCAACATAGCACATTGCTTTAAGAATACTTTTCAAGAGGGGTTGCAGATAATCAGAAAGTACCAATAATTTAAAACTAGATCTTTTAAGTCTGTGAAGGAATACCGAAGTTAATATGCATATTTTTTAACGCTTATTCCTTACGCCTTCTCCAGTGTTTACCCAAAAATACTAAATATTGCTATGTTATAAAAATCAAATAATCATTGTATCTAAAATTTTAAAAATTTTGCTGTGGAAAGCAATTTTTTGGAAATTCTATTCTTTAAATAATTAATAATTTGACTTCTGCAAAAAGATGTATGCTTTTGTAAATTTTTAGAAATTAAAAACAAATTTGTATAAAGATATTTTGAATGAAAGCTTTTTTCTCATTCCAGTGCATAATTTCACTTTGTTTTTAGATTATATATTCAAGAGTTGGCCGAATGTGCAAAAATGATAAAGGAGGACAGTTTATTTTGAAAGACAACTGGACAACATTTTTAAAAGCTCGCTTGAACTGTTCAATTCCAGGCCCTTATCCATTTTATTATAATGAAATTCAGAGTATTTATTTCATTGAAAGTCATCAAATTATGTATGCTACCTTTACAACACCAGAGTGAGTAGTTTAAATTTTACATATGATTAGTTTGTAACCTTTTTAAATGTGTATCTAGAGAATGTTTAAAAATTGAATGTGTAAGCAGTTATTTTTTAGATTTCTTTTTGTATATATATAAACTTCTATTCATTGTTCTGATTTTTTCAAATTAAGTTGCATTGTCTTTATTATATATTGAAATGTTTGTTATAAAGATTGCACGCTTTCATTTCAGGAACAGTATATATGGCAGTGCCATATGTGCTTTCAATTTTTCGGCTATACATAAAGCTTTTAATGGCCCGCTCAAGTACCAGAGTAATCCAAAGGCAGCATGGGAGAAACATACTGTAACTCATAAACACTTTCAGGTAGTTTGATATTCAAAATATTATTTTGTGATTTGAGAATAAATTTATAAGGTGAAAGATTAAAACACTGGCATAAACAGTGCATTTGCAAAATTTTTAATATTAAATTCATCCCTATCTTCTCCAAAAATATCAAGATTTGAGAAACACAATTTTATTATTATTTAGCTTTCTAGGCGCATTTCTTTTATGTATTTCACACTTATATTTATGGCACATTTCCTTATCTTTCTTGATATTTTCTTAGAAGTCAGCCATTAGAATATGTTTTAACTCTTTTGCATGTTTTTCTGAATTTCTGATGTACTCTATAAAATATGCCCTTAAGATGAAATTACACTTTAGAGAACAGAAATTAATCCACAAGATTAACATCTAAGTAATAAAGGAGATGCAAATGTGTTTTGATAATAAATTGTTTTAGAAATTACCTTGCACTTTTGGTTTTTCATTATTAGCATTGTGATTAGAGGTTTCCTATTATACCGTGATAGATCCCAGTGTAGCAATTTAGATCTGTGTCTGTAGTATCTTTGCAAAACAAAACACTGTGATTATTATGCAGATTTTTTTTTTTTTTTTTTCTATTTAAAGCATCTTATTAAAAAAACTTTTGCTCACTTTCTCTTATAAGCGCACAATAAAGAGATGTCAATCACTACATTTCCATTATACTTTTAATGTACGTCATATTCTGTTTTGGCTTTAATATATACAGGTTAGGATATATGTGCCATTATGTATTTTCTCAAGCAAGATCACTAATATGAAATATACACAATATAATTATAATAATTATACATTATAATTTATAAGTATTGTCTTTTAAAAGCAGTAATAATGTAGAGTTACATTTATTGAAAAGATAACAGAGCTTATATCTTCAAATGAAATGATTAAAAAATATTGAATTTTATGTTAAATTTTGATTTTTTGTGTTTATTTTGTAGTGTCAAAGTCCGGGCAGTACTCAGCACTTGTTAGATGCAGAAGCCTATCAATTAACTGATGATGCTGTCCAATCTGTACATTCCAGACCAGTATATATGAGGGAATTGGAAAGGTATTGAACTTCCTCTCTTTTTTATGTTTGCAATAAAATTTTATGATGTGTGTAGTTGCTTTAACCATTGATAAAGTATTTTTTGTTTGTCTGTACCAACTGTATAAGTATTGTTATCTCAAGAGTATTGAGAGATATCAAAACTAATTACATTTCAATCTTGTTTAAACCTTTGAATGCAATTATTTTTCAATCAATTGATAAATATGGTAGAATTCCTTTGATCTACACAACTCAGCGCTAAAGATTATACAAACCAGTAAATTTTACATAATATTGGTCACGTCATATAATATTTATTTATATTTTAATATAACGTTTTTCTCTCTCTCTCTTTTTTTTTTTTTTTTTTTGTTACAAAGGTCTGTTAGTAGCGACCTTTTTGAGGGGGCTCAGGTTTCTTATATAATTTGTAATATCCAGCTACACAAAGCTTAAGATTGCATTAAAATCGTAATGCATGCTTCATGTCAGGATCAGGAGTAAAAAAATGTTGTTCCATACTTGTAGCAAACTTCAGGCCCTCGCAAATTAAATCAGCCATTAATAGCTGAACTTCACTTTCGACTTTGTCATTATCGACTTCTCTATTATCATAAACTTTCATAAATTCAATCAAATTGTCCTCATCCAAAGGGCTTTCTCACATCAATTCTTCGATGTCATCCACCTTCATCATAAAACCTCTGCCACCAATTGCATTTGATAGAATTGTAATTTCAAAACCTACTTCACATCTATTTCATGCATGCACGTAAGGCCGAAGGAATGCTCCTTTTCATTGTGGTTGAGCTATTCCTGCTTTGATAAAGCTTTCATGCTTAACATTATAAATTCTTTGATGAAGTCACTAACACATGTGTCCAAGTGTGTGGGCCTAAACACACATGTGTGGGTCTAAACTGACTGACTTCTGATCACACTGTCAAAATTAGAATTTAAAAAAATTTGGGGGGGGGATTTGTGCTGAAATTGAAAAATGTGCTAGACAAAAAATTTGTTTAAAAAATGTATTTGTTTTTACTGGTGAACCATGTTATTTCAAAATCATATGTATATGTATTTGAACAATGAAACAATGTCCTCTATTTTTGATAATTTTTATTCCCTCTTAGGCTGAGCTCTATTGTTGTTGATGTTGTCTCAACTAAGTATCATGATGACATTCATGTTTTGTATGTTGCAACAAATGAAGGTGAACTTCGAAAGCTAGTCACTGTTCCAAACTCACCAGAAAGTTGCCTGATAGAAAAACTTGAAATTTTTCCCCCAGGAAAATCTCAGAAAATTAAAATCTTGAAACTGCTGAAAGATACAGTAAGATCAATAATTTTTAGTGTTAATTTGAGCTAAAATAATAGTCCAAATAATTAATTATTGGAACTGTTAAGACAACATAAATCAGTGTACTGTTCATAAATTTGCAAGACTAGCTTTGAAGGTTTAAATACAGAACCACATTCTTCACGTGCAGAAGTGTCATTCTGCACACCTGCAATTGAAGAAGGTTTTTTTTAATTTAAACCTTTGAAACTAGTCCAGTAAATTTATGAGTATTATACTTTTTTTTTGTTACCTTAACACTTCTAATAAAATAATAATTATTGGATAAATTTGACTTGAAAAAATTTATCCAAATTAGTGTTTAAATTTGATATAAATAAATGTGTATTTCAAAAATATATTTCTGTACATGTGTACACCCCATACATATGATATATGAACTGAGTATGTAGTGCTTGCAATATTAACAGTTTATTCTCATGTAAAAGTAAAGATTTCAAATTAATTCCATTTATTTTATTCTTTAGAATTCATTATATATTGCAACTAATGATACAATTCTTCGAGTTCCACTTCATCGATGTGAGCGTTTTGAGAAAAAATCGTAAGTTACCTCCAATGTACTGATTAATTTTTATGTCATTTATTTATATTGGATAATTCTTTCACAGCATTATTAAAAATAAGTAAATAATAGTCATTTGATTTGTATTAAAGTTATGTTATCTTAAAATCTGAAGAAAATTTGTACTTCAAAATATTTCTAATAGCTTAAATAAGTTTTAATTGTGAAGTTAAAATCTTAAATAGCTGCAATTTTCATAATTTTTCTGTCATTTCAATTAAAAAAATGAAAACTTTCAATTATTTTACATCCAAAGAGGCATTTTTTCATTTACACGTATATATACTTTTCGAGTAATGCCCCTTTGGGCTAAAAATATTTAAAAATACCATATCTTTAGAATTTCTTCATGTGCTGGAGATAAAAGTATTTTTTTCCATAGAGTATGTTGCCTCTGCTCGCTTTGAAATCATTGAGTTTCTTAATCAGAAATTCGTTAAAGTTTAAAAAATCTGAAATAGATAATAAAAGTAATTCAAGGTTCCTGCTTCCAGGAGCCCATATTCGAATGGAGGACTACGTTATTCAAAATTTGAGGTATCGTTTTTTCACAGTGTGGGAAATATATATGCATTCATGCAGATTCTTCATTATGTAATTTCTTTAAATTTCATTGGTGGAAACAATTTGAAAAGTCATACAGCTGTTTATAGTGATTTGACGCAAAATGTCATTTCAAGACTAATAGCCCTTCTGGTCTAATGCCCCTTTGGGCTAAAAAGAAAAAGGTGAGGAATTTATTTGAGGAACTTCTGTTTATACTAATATTTTGCATTAGTAACTGTTTGTAAATTAAAAATTAAAAAAGTGATTAAATTGTTTGTATATAATAAGTCTGAAATCAGTGATGGTTAATTCTATACAATTTTCTTTAAAAATACTAACACAGTTATTCATTTTCTTCTGCAGTGATTGTTTAAATTCTTTGGATCCATACTGTGGATGGAATGAGTATCAAATGGCATGCACTACAGCTCCTCATCGTAATCCATTGAGTAGCTTTTGGGTGCAGAACCCCATACGGTGTCCAAAGCCTGATGCTCCAGGTAAACATATATTCTGAGGTTTGTTTATATAGATACTGTTTATTTGCATGTTTATAGAGCTCTTTTTACAGGAAAAACAATTCATTTAATATTTTTGAATATATAATGTGTATATAATATACACATACAGAAGCAGTTCCATGTCAGTATGTATTTGTTGTTTTACTTAATGCAATTTTGTGAACAGTTGATTTAAATAAATAGCATATAGTAACAGAAATTCATTTTTAAACCAATACTTTTTGGTGGCCACAGTTCAGCTATTGGCCCACCAGCGGCCAAGCGGTAATGTCGCTGAACACTAGTAGTTAGGTCCGAGGTTCGAATCCCGCGAATGGGCTGGCTGCATGGGTGTTTTCGTGGTTTTCCCCATGTGTAACGTGTATACGAGCCAGTTTCCCTTAAAAAGTCCTCCATGAAGGCATCCTTCCCTCAAGGCAGATAGCCTTCAAGTGCTTTGTCGTAATCTAATAAACCAAACCAGTTCAACTATTGCTTTTAGTAATGCTTCAAACACATTATGAGGCCTCATATAATGTCTAAATATATGCTGTGAACTCCAGCTATATCAAGCTATATCCCTGTGTTTTTTGTTCCACCATTTTATTATGATAAGCATATTAAATATTTAGCATTGAAAAATTGATAAATTTGCACTATCTGAAGAAAGATAAACTGCCTGTATGTGTGAATTGTAAACTCTGTTTTTTTGTACAGATCCATAATTGTCTGCTTTTTTGGCAAAACTGAACAAATGAGGGCATTGGCACTTGTCTCATGTCACCCACTCATGCATTCCAACAGAACTTCAGTTAAATATTTTTTAAAATCATTCTGGAACTAGTTTCATTCAGAAATACAACCATCTGTCATCTATGTAGCTATATAAAAAATGATCCAGATTAACTGTAACTTGAAGGCAACAAACTATCTAGAACACCTATGAGCATCATCCCGAAAAAGTGGAATGAAGATTCAAGAACTTGCAGTGGCAGATCACCAAAGGATGATAAATGACATTGCAAGAACTGTTGATGTGTAAAATGGGTCCATGCAAACTCTCTTAATATCAGACTTGAGTATGCAACTTATCACTGTCTGTTTCCCATCTGCTGACCTCTAAACTATAGAACTTTGTGTCAAAAGGTGCCAAGAACTTCAGGAGCATGCTGAAGATAATCCATTCTTCATGATTGGTGTTGAGAATAATCACACGTACTCCCCGTTCTTGTTTTAATGTCATGTATTTTAACTGTAACTGTTTTATAATTTTTGCTTAGGTTGATCTGGCAACGGTTGTAGTTGTGCTCGTGTGATATGTAGAAACGAGCTTTACCATGTGCGTGAAATTCCATCTTTTAATAAAGCCTCTACTTAATTATCATCGGCCTCTGATTCACTTCTTTTAAATCTTTACAGCAGAGCGTGGTTCTGATATTGAACACGCTAGAGGCGAAGCATTTATATTTGTTTTGTTGAACTTATTTGTTTGGAACGGAATCGCGCGTTAAGTGAAATTTGAAATGGCAGCACGTGATGAGAACACAAAGTATTGTGTTGAGCCGTTTAACGGTAAAAACTTTTCTCTGTTTAAGCGCCATGTAGAAGCTGTGTTTGCAGCCAAAGAACTTTATAAATATTTAGACGTTGAAGCGGATGAAACGAAAGTCGCTGAAATCAAAGATGCAAAAAAGGCTTACGCATTGCTGCTAACCCTTCTAGATGATGCCATATTGGCGACCATGTCGAGTGAATCTTCTGCATGTGAAATTTGGAGCAGTTTAAAGAATAAATACCATAAGGTGAGTGCAGTTAGTCAAATATTAGTACGAAAGAAATTATCAACACTGAAGAAACGCCGAGATTGCAGTATGCAGTCACATATAAACGAACTGTTGGCTATCGTAAATGAACTGCGGCTTTCGGGTGCTGAAGTCAAAGATATGGATGTGATTATTTATTTGTTGATGTCGCTACCTTCTGAGTACGACATTATTAAATCGACGATTGAGAACCAGCCAAATGAAATGCTTACGCTGGACTTTGTTATGCAAAGGCTCTTGAATGCTGAAGAATTGCAAGGTGAGAGAAATTCTTACGATTCTCGTATTTCTGGCTCAAGTAATAACGTAGCTTTTAGCGCTGATAAGCGTGATATCATCTGCCACAAATGTAAAAGTAAAGGTCATATTGCCAGACTTTGCAAAAAAAAATTAGTTTGTTTTGGATGTGGACGCCCAGGGCATTACAGGAAGGATTGCAGATTTAAGCATAAATCAGATTATAGAGAATCGGCTGCAGTAACATTCATGGTTGGTGAGCCTGTTGGAAATTTCATTCTGGATTCTGGAGCATCTACACACATGTAATAAAGGTGAGTGGTTTGAAGAAATTAAACCTTTTTCTGGAACTGTTGCATGTGCTTCAAAAAATGAAATTTTAAAGGTAGAAGGTATTGGTACAGTACCTGGAACATTAAATGGAAGAGAAATATTACTTAAAGATGTGTTATATCTGCCTGAGTTGAACGGTCAATTAATATCTGTGAAGAATATTCAAAAAGCAGGTTACAGTGTAATTTTTAAGAATGATGTAGCTGTTATTGAAAAGAGGAATGAAAAATTTAAGTTTGCTAAACTCAATGAGAAAGGACAGTATGTGAGTCAATTTGAAACAGTTAAAGCTTCAACATACATTGCAAATCATAGTGCAGAATTATGGCACAGGCGCATGGGGCACTCATCTGATAAAATGTTAAAAGAAATGGGTTTGCCAGTATCTGAGTCACCTTCAAGCTTTTGTGAAGAGTGCATATTAGCAAAACATTCCAACACTCCTATGAACAAAGGTCCTAGAAGCAGAGAGCATGTGCCGATGAGAATGGTACACACTGACATATGTGGTCCCATTGATCCACCCACTACTAGGGAAGGTGAAAAGTATTTTGCTACAATCATAGACGATTTTTCTAGATTTACTGAAGTGCATCTCTTAAAGCACAAGAGTGACATAAATGAAGTGTTTAAATTGTTCCTAAAGCAGAATCCTGATGTCTACAAAATTCGGTGTGATAATGCCAAGGAATACGTGTCTGGTGAACTAGCTCGTTATTGCAAGAAAAATGGTGTTATGATAGATCCTGCTCCTCCATATTCACCTCCTTTAAATGGTGAATGGTGTGGCTGAGAGAGCCAACAGATATCTTTTAGAGAAGGCCCGAGCTCTAATATGTGAAGCAAAGCTTTCTAAATCCTTCTGGGGCTTATGCTGTACAGACAGCTGCATATCTTAAGAATAGAATTCCAAATCAGACTGTTGAAAATGTACCTTATGAGCTCAAATATGGGAAGCCGCCTGATTTGAATATTATTAAGGTGTTTGGATCTGATGCATACATGAGAGTTCCTGATAACTTAAGAAAGAAATTGGATCCAAAATCAAAAAAGATGATTTTTATTGGATACTCTACCATGGGTTATCGTTTACTGGACCCAGTCACAAATCATGTTGTGGTTTCTCGAAATGTATTGTTCAATGAAGAGAAAAAGAAATGTATCTCAGTTCAAGATGATTTTTCCATAGAAAGTAAAGATCCTGCTAAAGATGAGGTAGTATATGATTCAAGTGATGTAGAATCCAGAAATCTTGAAGAAAGTCATGAAGAAATTACTAGGCAAAGAAGAAATGTAAAATTACCTGTAAAGTTGAATGATTACTTTGTGTATGAAGCTAATGTGGCAACTGTTGATACAGTAACATATGAGGATATAACATCATTGCCGACAGAAGAGCAAGTCCTATGGAGGAAAGCCATGGATGAGGAAATAGCTTCTCTTAATAAAAATAAAGTGTGGGAGTTAGTCAACTTGCCAAAGGATGAAAAGCCAATATCCTGTAAATGGGTGTTGCGCATCAAAAGAAACAATGTCTACAAAGCTAGATTGGTTGCTCGTGGCTTTGAACAGAAGCCAGGTATTGATTACTTTGAGACCTATGCTCCTGTAATTAGTACATCATCACTTTGACTTGTGCTGGCTATCATTGTTCAAAAGAATCTTGAAATCTATGCATTAGATGTAAAGACTGCATTTCTGAATGGTGATCTCCAAGAAACAATATACATGGAACAACCAATGGGCTACAGTGACAACAGTGGTCGTGTGTGCAAGCTTCTTAAGAGTCTTTATGGACTTAAGCAAGCACCGAGGCAGTGGTTCAAGAGATTTACTGATTTTATAATTCTGTTAAACTTCCAACAACTTAACTGTGAAGCATGTACTTTTGTAAGAAGAACTAAACAGAGTGAAATATTTATTGTGCTGTATGTGGATGACTTGCTAATTGCTGGTTCTAATGATTCAGAGGTAAAAATTGTGATTGAATTACTTAGAAATGAATTTGAGATGTCCAAGGCTGAAGTTGCAAATGAATTTCTTGGAATAAGTTTTGAATATTCACAGAACAAACTTACTTTAGGCCAAAAATCTTATGTTGAAAAATTGTTAAATAGATTTAGAATGTTAGATTGTAAGCCATCTGATACTCCTCTAGTGCCTAAGTCAACTTCATCAAATTTTGTGAATGGTGAAAGATTTCATGGCCCTTATCGTGAAATTTTAGGTGCTTTGCTGTATCTGTCTATGACAACTCGTCCAGATATTCTGTTTTCTGTGAACTGTCTGAGTCAGATACAAGAACAACCCACTAACAGTGCTTGGGCTGGTCTGAAGCAAATTCTTCGATATTTAAAAGGGACATCTGAATTCAAATTATTATTTTGTAAATCTAATAGTGTTGATATTATGTTAAATGTTTATGTTGATGCTGATTGGGGGTCAGATACAAATGATAGAAAATCTATTTCAGGGTATATTATTTTCTTTAATGATTGTCCTGTAACTTGGTCTGTTAAAAAGCAAACATCTATTGCTCTGTCCTCTACTGAGGCAGAAATTTTGGCTTTAGCAAAAGCTATTCAAGAACCTAACTGTATTTTATAA